CTCCTATCCTAACCCTAACCCGTACCTCTAACCCCCCACAGCTCCTTCTGTAGTCCCTCTACCTCTATCTCTATCTCACCACTGACTCTGATCAGGGTTTCTCCTCTGGATGGCTTATTGTCATAGTGATGAGAAATGGAATATTGGCTCTACTCTGTAAGTCGCTTTGGAGAAAAGCGTCTGACAAATGCAGAAACAGAAACATAAACATAACTTAATCCATGTAAATGACTGATTCTATTATTCCTTTTTAGATTCATATTTTTCCCTTTATCATACTATCATAATATTATGATAATATGATATGATAGTATCATATTATATTATCATATGATATTATATTATAATATTATCCCCTCTATCATACCTGCTATCATTATCATTGGTGTTAGAATTGGGCTATAATTACTCACTTTAGCATAGCATGCTACAACTTATTGATTGTCTTATTCCTGTTTAGATGTATATTATTCCCTTTATAATTCTACTTTTGGGTTAAACTCTCTGGCTGTGCCTCCTCCTCCTCTCTCTGTTACAGTATCTATCTATCTATCTATCTATCTATCTATCTATCTATCTATCTATCTATCTATCTATCTATCTATCTATCTATCTATCTATCTATCTATCTATCTATCTATCCTCTCTCTGTTACAGTAGATACTCGTCTTCAAGCTCAACATCCACACTTTCTTATCACATTCCACCTAAACCTGCATGAATTAGGACCTGGCCTGTTCCTGTCAGAGCTAACTGGCCAATAACACTCGGTTGGGTCCAGTCTTTCAGAACCAGCCCAGAAGATAAAAGTCATATTTGTACTCTTGATATACTCTGGTTTATTCTAAGGATTCCAACTAAAGAACCAAATCTAACATAGGACTACCTGCCCCCGAAAAAGAAGCCAGAGGTTGAACTCTTGATCAAGGTCCAGACTGTTATCTTTCTTTTATGGATCACAGGGAATTATAAGTACGCAACTGTATGAGAGTTGGACTAAGATTTGTTGTGCTGACAGACACAATCGTTAATCATTAGCTTAAAATGATACAGATTGATCCAAGTGAGTTACTGTTTAGATAAGGATATAACTGAGTGGTAGAGCAGATCAAGAGGTCCCCAGTTCAACTCTCAGTATCGCCCTACTTTGTAAGTCACTTTGGATAAAAGTGTCTGCTAAATACATATCCTCCTGAGACCCGGCCCATTCATTTATGTCCATTATAGTGGACATTTTGTCCACCTGTACCCCCCTAAGTATCTGGAGTTACCCTATCAGCCCTATAGTGTTCTGTAGAGCACATCCTGGGCTTTCCAGTGATGTGCCATGTGATAGGTTTGCATGCTGGGAACTTTACTTTTTTCCTAAGAGTTCTTAGGAAAAGACATCTTCAAGACATCTTTCAAGACATCTTCTTTTTTATTATTTAATTATCTAAAGCCTGTTCTATTTTCCCATGCAAATCGTCCTGTTGTCCTCCACAGTGGACATGCTATGAAATTAAAATTAAAAATGATTTTTTTTAAAATTTAAATTGTAATGTTCTTTTTTAGGTCCAAATACATGGAAAATCACAACAAAAAAGAAATTTGAAGACACTTTTTTTCTTTGGCTCTCAGGAGGTTAAACATAATTTATTTAGAAAGGTTCAGTTCCTCATTAAAATGATTTTCCATGAGGATGCGTCTATGGAAAAGCAAAATAATCAAACTAAAACAACCCTTTAGTGAGACTTTACTGGATCAACAAGATATAAAATCACGAGACGAAATACCGGCTGGTTTTGCAGCAGAGGAGGTTTCCAGGTAGCCCGATGTGAGCTTCTTCTCCCTCAGGATTATGGGAAGAATCTGATTGGAGCATGTGCCACTCGCACAGTCACTACAGGTGTGAGTGACCACATCTGCGTAGAAAAAGGAAAACAAAAAAATGCATTAACAGCTAACGGCACACCTCCATCAAAGGTGTACTCAAAGACTGAAAAGCAGGACAAGGTAAAAAAAAAAATATAGATTAAAATTAAATTAAATTAAATTAAAAAAATAAATAAAAATAAATAAATAAAAACACACTCTCGGCCAAGTTTCCACCCATTCAGCAGAAACACAACAAGGAACAATGAGGTGCATTTCCACAAAGATGAGGATGTGCCTCGCTCACCGATATTGAACTGTACGCTGCACCCACCCAAAAGAAAGAAAAAAAAAAATAGAAGACTGAAAGGCAAATATTAGAAGTCTATCAGTATATTTTATTTCTCTTTCCCCTGTCAGGTTCGACATTAATCATCTTACTTCTGTAATAAAAGTACATCTTAAAGGAGACATATTATACCCTATTTCAACAAGTTAAGCTAGTTCCCTGGTGTCCTAATGTAATGTCTGTGACCAGCTTTGGTCAGAATCCCATAAGGATGAAGCCCAATAGCAGTTCAGTCCCCCTGCCTAACCCTAACCCTAACCCTAACCCTAACCCTAACCCAAAACAGCCCCGTTCAGAGCGCTCGCTTTGGAGTGCCTGTCTCTTTAAATGCAAATGAGACACAGGCAATCCACCCACTTCTTCAGGGAGGTGTGCCCACGTCGGCACGCTAACGCTACCATGCTAACGCTACCATGCTAACGATACCACGCTAACGCTATCATGCTAATGCTACCGTGCTAACGCCACCACGCTAACGCTACCATGCTAACGCTCACCTACCAGGACGTCTCCACAGATAGGGGAGTAAACTGAAGGGGGGGGGCAACATGCAGGTGAAAGGCTGGAATATTATAATGAGCTAGATAATATATAATAATATTAATATAATAATAATAATAATATTCTAATGAGCTAGAGCTAATGACGTCAGAAACTACCCACTCCTGAAACCTCCTGATTTATCTCCTGGATTCAGACTGAGGCGGCCCACAAAAACATGACCCAGTCATTGTTTTTCACACTTTTCCTGCTGATAGGCCCTCCACAGTCCCAAATGTACACAATCAAATGATTAAAAACTTGGTTTTGCATCATATGTCCCCTTTAAGAACTGATCTCTGTAGGCCTTTGTGTGTTATTGCTAATTTCCTTCATCGTGAGACTAAAACTGTCATTACTGGCTGTTTTGTGGTTTGCATAGTAGTTTGCAGCTCCCTGTTATTGAGGCTGAAAGTGTTCAGTGAAGGTGTAACAGGAAGGTTTCTGCAGCACACACTGACACCATGCAGAGGGAAAAGGACGTTATATAAAACAAAAGAGAGCAGTTACGCAGCAATGCTGAGGGTGACAGAGGGATTAGAAGCAAGCACTTCTGGTGTTATTTTCTATTGCATGTAAGACGAGTTGACAGTGAAAAACTGATGAAAAACACATGTTATTTTTTTAAGGTGACACTTTGGAAACTCTAAACAAATGTAAAACTGGAGCACTGGTACACAAATAAGTGATTAAGTTTGGCTTAAAGACTCTTAACTTGTTGTTGTTCTGTGTGTGGAGAAGTCATGCCTTGTGTTATTAATCATTTATTAAACCGGCATTGGCGACTAAAGGCCAAGTTATAGCTCAGCCCTCAGATTACAATCCTGTTGCCATAATGCCAGTCTATTAACTTATGGACTGGCAGCCATTTTCAGAACAGAGTCCCATACTGCCAGGGTTTTTTGAGCATTTTGACTGATTTTTCTAGAGCCACAGAATAGTTTGTGCTATGACTATGTAAACACCGAACACACCAAAAGAAAGAGTAGACTCTCTTCTTTCACCAGGAAAAAAAATGTGTTTCTACCTTATTCCGTTCTTCCTGGACGTGCGTCTCACCGGCGACATGTTCTCTCATAGAACCGTTCCCTTTTTCTTATTTGCCTACAGTCTATGCTCATCTCCCATCAAAAGTGGCACTGCCCCCTAGAGGGTCAGTTTGTTACTACATACTCTGTCTAGAAGCCCATATTTACGGACAAGCTTTAGCAGATCGTCCCCCAGACACTCTCGTTAAAAAACATAAAAGACCTCTATAGACGTCTTTGGCAGCCAACGGTTGTATTTGAATTGACGTCTATAGACTTCTTTGGCAGCCAATGAGTTAATACGGACATTCGAAGTCCCTCACCCACCTGCGATGTTTTCCAGAGGCCGGTCTGGACGCAGCAGGTCTGCGTACGGCTCCGTGTGGCCGATCTCCGCCCAGTTACTGTGGCTGTAGAAGTCCTGATAAAGCACGTAAACACATCGTGAGTCACAGATACGAGCCACTGCTCAGCCTTTGGAACACAGGCTCATAAAAGATCTCATTTCAAACATACCAGTTATTTTCTCTGGAACCAGAGGTTTGCACACAGTTACTGTTTGATTGATTTCTTCATTTGAATTTGTCCACTTTCATTCTTATTTACAAATTACCTTTATGTGGCAGACCTTTAATCTAATGCATTGCATTCCCAATTATGTTTCTGTTTCTGTTTATGCATTTGGCAGACGCTTTTATCCAAAGCGACTTACGGAGTAGACACAATATTACATTTCTCATCACTATGACAATTAAGGACACTTCCTGTCTTTCCTTTGTTAATTTAAACTAGAGTTAGAGATAGGACTACTTTCCATATTTTCACATTTTTGTAAAATTCCTGTAAATAGTCACAAGTATTTTGCCATATATTGTAAAACAGAAAAAAATAGCTCCACGAACAGATTTTTGTCAATCCTCTTGACTATATGTAATAAAAAATCTCAGTTACTGTTTGATTGATTTCTTTATTTGAATTTGTTTTCACCGTCCGCTTTCATTCATATTTACAAATTACCTTTATGTGGCAGATTTTCCATCTATTGCATTGCATTCCCAATTAAGGACACTTCCTGTCTTTCCTTTGTTAATTTAGACTAGAGTTAGAGATAGGACTACTTTCCCTATTTTCACATTTTTGTGAAATTCCTGTAAATAGTCACGAGTATTTTTTCTTATATTGTAAAACACAGAAAAAATAGCTCCACAAACAGATTTTTGTCAATGCTCTTGACTATATGTAATAAAAAATCTCAGTTACTGTTTGATTGATTTCTTTATTTGAATTTGTTTTCAAGGTTCGCTTTCATTCTTATTTACAAATTACTTTTTTGTGTGACAGACCTTTCATCTGCATTCCCAATTAAGGACACTTCCTGTTTTTCCTTTGTTAATTTAAACTAGGGTTAGAGATTGGACTACTTTCCCTATTTTCACATTTTTGTAAAATTCCTGTAAATAGTCACAAGTATTTTGCCTTATGTTGTAAATAACATAGTAGATTCTTTTGTTCTTGACTATATGTCATAAAAAATCTCTTAGGGAAGTTGTTCCGACTTGCTTAAGAGTCATTTCTTGACTTTACTCCTTTGCCAAACCTCGGCCTGTGCGACCCGTTTGGGTTGTGCTTTGGAAATAGTTTTTATCACTCGTTTCCCACCTGCAGCGTGTGGAGGATCCTGCCCAGTGTTTCTCTGGCTGCCTTGAAGTTTTCCTTGCCGATGTTTGCCTTGATGGCGCCCATGCCCTCGGTGATGAGGGCACGCCCCTCCAGGAAGGCCTCGGAGTTGAAGTGATGAGGAGCACTGAGAGGCGTTTAAGGACACGTCAGAACAGATCTGGTGTTTATGTTTATGTTTATGTTTATGTTTATGTTTATGTTTATGTTTATCCAAAGCGACTTACAGATCTGGTGCTTCTCATGTTCATGTTTATGTTTATGTTTATGTTTATGCATTTGGCAGACGCTTTTATCCAAAGCGACTTACAGATCTGGTGCTTCTCATGTTTATGTTTATGTTTATGTTTATGTTTATGTTTATGCATTTGACAGACGCTTTTATCCAAAGCGACTTACAGATCTGGTGCTTCTCATGTTTATGTTTATGTTTATGTTTATGCATTTGGCAGACGCTTTTAT